CTTGCTGGAGGGTCAGCAACGGGTCGGTTCCAATTCAATGGCACATAACAATGACAAAGCCACCAGAACTCCCTTTCAACAAAAAGAAGGACCCACAAGTCAGATAGGAGGAGGACTGGGGCTGCTGGTACAAAACACTTCCATTATCAATACGCTCACAGGCCAGAAAAGGTAAAAATTCTGGAAACAAATGAACAGCTCGCATTAGCTGCTCAAGCACTGTGCCAAGTATCCTCACTGGAATCCAGCGGAGGAGCACTAATTCCCTAACTCTGTTTCACAAACAGGGGAACTAAAAAGTTCCAAGAGGTTGCGCTTACCTGATGTCACATAGCTGGGGAAAAGAGGGGCTGGGTTTTGGGGTCTTACTGGGGGCTGTATCTCTGACCAGTAGCAGAGGTATGGAGGAGACGCTTAAGGCCCACCTGGTGTTTAATACGGCCCAATTATCCAGTGGTCCTTAGAGGTGCCCTAGATGCTACATTCTGAGGATCCAGAAAGCACTGTGGGACCCAATGGGAGAAAAGAGTAAAAACGAACTTTAGGTTTGAAGGCTATAAACAGTCTGGTAGACCAGACCTCACGACAATATAAGCTTCCTGATAGGACACAATAAGGAAGGGTCTTCTTCAAGGGCTTGGTGGACTGAATGTGGACTTTAACCTGGATATCATGCAGATCCCTGGGCATCTGAATCTGTCTGCATACATGGGAACAGGCTAGATCATGGTCCATCCACACACCAGAATGCTCTGTAGTCACAGAAGGGAGTGTACTGCTAAGAAATGTCAACAGTGTGTGTTGTACACAAACATTTCTATTCAATCATTTCTACGCAGCACGCAGGAGCGATGATTTTGTAACTTACTACCTAACTAGGGAGGGACGGGAAAGCACTATGCTAAGTGAACTCAGTCCCATCAGGACAAATATTGTATAAGACCAGTATTGTAGAACGAGGATCCAGAAGGGTTGGGGGGGAGCAGTGGGGTAAAGCTGGGCAGGAGGGGGCATTAATCACAGGGTTGCACAATATGATGGGTGGAGGGAGGAAGGGGGGTGAAGGAAATGAGAAAGATCCAGTATGAAAAACAATGTAAACAAAGTTTGTAAATAAATCAGTATAAAATAAAAATTTCTTTAAAAATAAAAAGGTCATTATAGCGCACTGTTGATTCCAACTCACAGGACCACTACAGACACACGGACAACGACACCAAAGGCTTTCCTAGAGTACATCCTTCATGGGAGCCGACCAGCAGGATTTTCCTTCTTGAGAGCAGTAGCTGGGAAGTTTGGACGGTCAATCTTTGGGTTAGCAGCCAAGCACTTAAGCACTGCACCACCAGGAATCCTTTTTTAAAGGGGGGGAAATTATATAGAGGCATAAGTTCTTGTCTTGCACTTTGCATTATATTCTCCAAAACACTGCATTTTCTACAAATTGAAGGTTCAAGGCCCTCTTGCAACCAATTTACTAATACTGCTTTCCTAAAAGTATTTTCTCACTTCCTACATCTTCAAAGTGTTGGCGATCCTGGCCTGGCTTCAATCACCCAGCTTCATTTTCCTGACTCTTACCTCTTTCCCCAAAACCTCGGAATAGTTTGATCTCAAAAAAAAAAATCTTTCCTCACCTTATGTCTGTCTCATTTTGGATAATTTTCTCAATTATTTCAAACTTTGTAATAACACTTAATAAGACACTCCAAACCAAAACCAATCCCACAGCCAGTTCATGATGCCCCTTCATCAAGTCTCTGAAGCTATAAACCAATGAGAGCAAGCTGCCTCATCTTTCTCTGTGGAGAGGCTGGTGGGGGCAACTCACTCCAGATGAGTGTAAGCACGGCTTTCACATGCATTGGAAAACAAACAAACAAACAAACAATCATGTGTCCTACTTCATTGCATTCTTTGCTTCGTTGCAGTGGTCTGGAACCGAACTCAAAATATCATGTTGTTGTTGTTGTTATGTGCCGTCGAGTCGTTTCCGACTCATAGCGACCCTATGCACAACAGCCCTAAACCCTGCGCCAACCGCACCGCCTCTGACACACCCATACCGATTACCCCAGTCACCGAATCAATCCATCTCATAGAGGGTCTTCCCCTCCTGCGTTGTCCCTCAACCCTCCCAAGCATGATGTCCCTCTCCAAGGACCCATCCCTCCTGGCAACATGTCCAAAGTATGTCAGATGAAGCCCCAGAATCCTTGCCTCCAAGGAGTAGCTTGGTTTAATCCTCTCCAAGATAAATCTGTTTGTTTTCCTGGCAGTCCAGGGTACATTCAGTACCCTTCTCCAGCACCACAGCTCAAAATCATCCACTCTCCTTCTGTCCTCCCTAGTCATTGTCCAACTCTCTGGAGGTTGTAAAACACAATGTCTTATAGAATGACTACATGAAAACCCAGTATGATTTCCAAATCTCCACTCAAATAAAAAATCATTAAAAAAAATATCATGGAGGTCTGTCTGTATTCCTATTGTTTGTATGTGAGGAGGTTCAAAAAAGCAAAACTAAACAAACAAAAACACTGCTGAAAGGGTTCACAAAAAACTAACAATAGGGGTTTCCTGTTGGAAAGGAGTGGTAAAACTGAGCAAGAAGGGGATGGAGTGAAAAGAGACTTTGGAACTTTGCTTTACTCCAGTAGACTGGTTGCAGAATGGTTAAGCCCTTGGCTGCTAACTGAAAGGCTAGCAGTTTGAATCCACCCAGTGGCTCCATGAAAGGCAGCCCTAGTGATCCACTCCTGTAAAGATCACAACAGGGTAATCTTACTTCACATCAGGGAGTCAAAATGAACTTCCTGATACCTACCAAGAGTCCCTGAAAAATCTACACTCTCTGCGATTCCACCTTCCATCTATTTGCCTTATAGATTTCCTCGTGTACATATAAAAATATCCCTCTGCGGTATGGCATCATTTATGGGAGTCTCTAGATGGTATAAACGGTTAATGCACTAAGCTGCTAACTGAGAGGTTATAAATTTAAGACCATACAGAGATGCCTCAGAAGAAAGGCCTGGCAAGCTATTAAAAAAAAATCAGCCACTGAAAACCGTGTGGGGCTTAGTTCTACTCTCCCACCCACGATGCTGGTGATGCTGGGGCACCAGTCACAGCTTATTTGCAAATGCGGGGGAAATCTCCAGATACACAGGCTAATCTAGTAACAGTGGTTGCCTCCAGGGAGAACTAAGTAACTGGAGAATGGGAAGAATTTTTTTCACACTCTCTGTGTTTTGAATCATGGTCATCATCTATTCGAAACAGTAAAATATGTCAGATGAGGAGGAAAGGTCATGTGCTGGGTCAAGGGCTGAACTCATTTTAACATTCAGCAGTCATATGCAAAGCTTTTTCATGACACCTTTAGCCTGGGTATTTCCCTCATCTGTTCTTACAACCACTGTGGAAGGCATTGTGGCGCTTTCTCAAAAAGTTGCAAATGAAGATACCATTTGACCC